AACATGACGGCAGGCGGGACCATTTTTTATAGTTAGACGGAATAGCTGCGAAAAATTGTTCGCCTTGATCATGGATGAAAGCCAGCCAAGAAGAAGTTGCTGCTGAGACCGTATTGGGAAGATCACCGTTGATGTTTAATTTTAAAAATTGTTCCGTGCGATTCACGAGGGAAAAATATGGGTGCGAAAATTGGAAAAATAAAAAGTTTGATCCGGTAAAAGATTATTCTCTTTGCCAAAATACTCATGTTCTGGTTGATTGGTTTTCGGGGTTGGAGCATTTTGCGGGATGCTCTCATCCAGCAACTGTAAACATACACCTCGGTCGGCTTTTCTTCCATTTGTTCCAGTGTAGTAGTGCACATATATAGAAACTGTAGCCGAAGAAATTAGCAAAAAAATTACATGAACTTCAAGGAAATGAAGAGTTAACTCCAAGCAATACTTACAAATTATTTTGGATTCCAGGCCTCTTCCAAATTTTCTTGCCTAACGTCCGTACCTATATGACCGAGGCGATGCCCCGCCCCATGCGCACTCTAGGCTTGGAGCTTCATACAAGTGCGACATCAGCAAGCATCGCGGTCAACTAGTGATCTTGTATAATTGTCCTAACCTCACAGGTGTCGCTCTTGGTGATATTATATACACTATGTTCCCCGCTATTTGGTATAGGTTATTATCATAGGCGCAACTCAGGAGTCACAAGACTCACAACCTATTGTATGCATAGCTGTAAGTTGATTATTCTCATCTTTTATCCAGTTGTTACCAACGAAATTTGGCGTGGAATGCTTTCGTTTCATAATTTCAGGAAAAAAATGTTCAGAAATTTCCTGGTCGAAATATGGATTACCGCTGATTTTCGTGGGGGGGGGGGGGCGCATCATGCCAATAACCGAATGCTGGGATGTTTGCCAGTATTCATGGCATCATTTTGTAGACAGTACAGGCGTTTTTTTTAGTTTATAGATTTTTCTTTGGATTTATATATTCATTATGTGATGCATTGCTTTGGTACTTATTCAGGCAGCAATGGAAAGGATTTGAAAATAAAACTCTATACTGTACTGTACAGTGGTGCCTTGCCGTACGACCGCTCTGTCCAATGACGGATCCGCTGTACAACCATTGAAAACTCTAAAACAATGTCCCGCCCAACGGCCATTGTCCCGCCAAGCAACCATTTTTTGCTAGGCTGGCAACTCGGATTTTGATTTGAAAAAAAGTTGTTTCTTTCCCAAACACCCTACTAACTTATTTTTTACATTCTTTCAAAGAATTGAGTGGAAGATAATACTTTGGTAAAAATTTAGGATGTCACCAAAGAATGCAAAAAACAGGAGAAATCTTCCATCCATTTGGAAATTCATTCTCTTTTTTCCTCACTTTATTCTCTGAAAAAATGTACAAAATAAGTCAGTAATAAAATTCCTGGAAAACAAAAATGCACATCAAAAATGGAGTTGTCAGCACAGCAAATTTTTTCTGGCCTTCCCTTGAACCAATAAGTATAGAAGTAAAAAAAAGTATGCTGTTCTTTCTTCCTCCCAACAAAAATGTTAGTTTATCAAGCAGTTTTGTTGAGGGAAAGTGAGAAGAACAGAAGGAAATTTTAATTGGTGATATCCTAGTCCAAAAATTGCTGCAATTGATAGCAATTTGTTCTTCATGCAAAAGTGACATTTATGCAAAATTACACAGGAGGTTCAACTCCTGCTTCACCCATAGATGTTGCATATGCATGCAGTACAATTGCTATTAATTTCTTGGGTTATTAATGAAAGACAGCAAGGCAATTTGGTAAGAGAAAGCATTTGAATGAACTGTAGCAGTGTTTATAAGGATCTTTGCTTTGTAATTTGAAAATTTAGGCAAATTTTTGCATTTTTCCGTCAGAATTTTTTTTTCAGGGAACCAATTGAAGGGATTTCCCTTAAACCTTAAGGGAAAAAGTGTTCCGCCGTACGACCGTTTCACCCAACGACCATCGCCCAGGAACGAATTGTGGTTGTTGGGCAAGGCACCACTGCCTTGCCCAATAATTATTTCTTGTAATTTGGCGAGAAACGTATTTTGAATTTTATCACAAAATGTCCCTATGTTGAGTCAGTGTCCTCATGTTGGGCCTTTTTTATTGATTTTTATACTAATATTAATTCAATATTTTTTTTTAGTTAGGGAGGTTCAACTTGTTGAGGTTTACCTGTACTTGTTTTTTGCCTTTTAGACTTGCTTTTCATGCCAAAAAGACAGATTCTGCAGAATATTTTTATTCAATTGTTGGTGGAATTTTCCCACTGTGAACATTTTCTGCATGCAGCGTTGATTTACAATTAAAGTCTAATTTATGGTTTGTCTATTCCAGATCAAGGTGGAGTGTTGTCTTCCGAAGCGAGTTGATGCCCAGAACTTGGAGAAGTTGGTCACCAGGTCAAACGACAGCAGATTCTTTGTGTTTGTGAATAAAAGGGCTGTGAAAATGCCGGAAATTCGAAAGGTTCGATGCTCTTGCGCAGCTGTTTTCAAAATATATGTACTTTTCTTTTCCGAATATTGCAGTTGGTCACGAAATATTTTTTCCGAGACGGAGAAGGTGGAAGTAATAGTGGACGTGTTCCCGTGGGTGCTGTGATGATTTCTCTGAATCCCGCCGGAGTCGATGTCAACTTGGAACCCAATAAAACCCGGGTTCTCCTCAGTGATCAGGTCTGGTCAATATTTCACAAGCAAGACACGTACAAATTGACATGCAGACTTGCATCATTATTAGTACATTTTCTTATCGAGTGATTTATTGTACGACTAAAAGGCAGTCATGGGAATCCGAGATTTGGAGTTGAATTTTTGAATGCTTTTCCTACTGCGAGTGACATCTGTACGAAAATCCTGCCTTGTTTCCATCACCAATTTTTTCTGGTAGTGGAATGCAGCGAAAGGCCTCAATTTTTGTTTCCAAACTCCTGATTGTATCTTCAACTTATTGATGGTTAAAGAAATGTGCTCGTTGTGGATGTGCTGTATAACAGATGAGAAATATTGACACCAGGAAAAAATTAGAGAAAGCTCAAGTTGAACTTGTCTTATTGTCAGAAAAGTGATTCATGGATCTTATCAATAATGTATGAGACATCAGAGCTAAACATTTTTTTTACCTGCTGAAGACCAAATGAGTGCTTTGCAAATTGTTCTCATGCTCCCATCCATTGAGGCTCTCAGGCAACTCTATTCAAGAATCATTATGTTTTCAGTACAGTATTTATTATAGAATTTCAGTTTTAATGAGCCTGTCTTGTTTTTGGAACTATGTCATCAGCAGACAAGTAAAATGCCTATACTTAATTTGTATGTCAGGCAGAAAAATGTCTTCATCTGATGGACTTGCCAAGGGTATTTTTTTTGTGTCAGAATTTCATTAGTTTCATAATATTGTCTTAGTCTCACTTTGCTTGAATGAAGGTATCTATTTCAATCTTTTGCTTCCCCAGGCAAAAGTTTTATCCAAGATGGAAAAACTTTTGGAAGATTTTTATGGACCCTTATTGATGACAAGCCGAACAGGGGAATCAATAACTCCTCCATCAATCCCAGCCTCAGTGGATTCAATCCTTGAAACAACCACAGAAGAACTGAATGATTCCTGCTGTGTAGAACCAATCAGTCCCCCAGCAGTCATTACAAAAAGCCTTCCAGCAAAGCCTGGTCAGAAGAGAGGATTGGATGAAATAGTTCAAAAATCAACCGCCAGGGTTGAACAGCCACACCAACTGCAAAAGCCTCAGGAACCACAACCACCACCAAAAAAACCAAAACCTATGACTGAGTTTTTCACTCCACCTGACTCTGAGCTGGATGCTCTTTTATCTGATGGAGAAGATGATCTTTTTGGGCAGGTTCCTATGATGCTGGAGGAATCAAAAATGGTATTTTGAACATTTTCATAAACAGCAATTTATATTTATATTGCAGGTCAAATTCCCTTTTTTAGAGAATTTTTAATTGCTGTAGAATATTTTAAAGAAAAAGCATTTTCAACTATTTTTGTCCACAAAAACATTTCAAAATCAAGGATAAATTTAAACCTGAACAAATGATGATCAAAAACTGTGTGATGGAATTTTTGAAAATTACAGGTAACATTAGAATCATTTCTTTTAGTGTTAATATGCTCAGCAGTACTTTGAATTGATGCAAGTGAGGCATACACTTGAATGTAAGACAGAGGGAATATAAATGAAAAATACCCTGACCACACTCATTAGTTCAAATTTATTTTTATATTTTCCCAATGCAAATTTAAATTTTAGAATGTATGAAATACAAATTCTTGTGCAGGCAAAATCCACTCTGCTGATGATGCTTTGATTTTAGTGTTGGCCAGGATTTTAATTCAGGTCTGAAATTTATTTATAAAATATCATAATATTATTTAAAGTATATACTGTATACAATATATGTTTATATGTATTAGTAAATATTTTATTATTATAATTGTAATCTATTTATTTAAATTTATTTATTTATTGTTTGATTTTCATTGTTGAGCTTATTTTGGTTTCATGTGCAGTGAAATCTTGTTACAACAAACCAATTTAGGATCTGGAAAAAACCTTTGTTAAAACATAATCATCAGTTTTTGTTACTTTAGTGATGAAGGGACCTTGAAAATGAGTCAATTCGAAACAATGATTCGTTGTAACGGAGTTTTAATGAATTTTTTTTTTTCAATTTATTCAGGACGAGGAACCCGTGGTTTTGGATGCTGTTGCCTGGGCTGAGGGCAAAACATTCCCGGAATCCCAAGAACCCGTGAAAATATTCTGCCCCAAGCCTTCGGAAACCAGTGTGGACCGGAAATTGAGTAATGTTTCGAAATCCGGAAGTGTTTTGGTTGGTGGGAAAATTCTGAACAAGCCACTGACTGCCCGCGAAATGTACGAAAAAGAAACCCGTCGGAAAAGTGAGTATTTTCTGAGAAGACATTTTGTTGTATGATAATGTCTGGATTTGTGATGAAGCTGAAGAGTTATTTTGTATTGGTTAATGGACTTGAATTTTCCCCTTTTTGAGTCAGAAATCCATCATATAAAATTTATTTTTGACTCATTGTCAAGTTAAGATAATACTGTACATTGATTGAAATGCATCAATAAATGCCCAAAGATATGAAGCAGAACCTCATTATAACAAATAATTGCTTATAAGAAATTCCCTTTTTACATTCCTGTCCAGCAATAGCAACAATGTTATTGTATTTGAACTTCTTTGGAGCAATGATTCAATAAAATATTTTTTTCATGATCCCAATTGTCTTGTCATAACCGGAATTTACTGTTGTTAAAAAAAAATGCGCAGGTTCCCAATATCTGTTAAATGGACAAGGCATTGCTTTAATTTTTTTACAACAGTAATATCTGCATGGAAACTTTTTTTTTGAAAATGTAAGTGTCTATAGTTTGAAGAACAGCACTGTTTCATTTTCCTCTGAAATCCTCAATTGAACAAATGATTAAGTAAAGGGCATTTTAAATTTGTGATAATGCAGTAGAATCTTGTTGCAACAAAGTCAAAAGTGACCTGGAGACAGCCTTTATTATAAAATAAAATTTGTATGAGTGAGGCTGAAGTAAAATTCTGTTGTTGCAGGGACTGCAAAAGTTCCCAAAAGAATTTGTTGTGGCCAAATTCTTTCTCTGTAGCACTGTAGAGGTCATCCACTTATTTTCATGTCATGACTCATGAGGAATTCAAGGTTAATTGTAATTTTGTCTATTGTGTGTGTGTGTATATTGACAAACCATTTTGTGTGAGGGGCTTCGAATCATCAGAGTCCATCTCTGAAATATGCCCGTTTATATTTGTTTCTGATACAGTTGTTTCACAACGTCAGAATGTGAGTCTCTATGACCTGGAAAAGAGTGTGACTGAGGGTTGGAAGGCCTTGGATCAGTCCCAACGTTCTGCTTACGAAGAAAAGTCTCAGCTGTTGGCGAATGATTTCAAGAGCAGAGTTTTGTGAGTTCCTCTTTTGTATGCCCTCTTTTTCTTTTTTTTTGTCAATCCTCATTGTAAGTACTTGACTTGCAATTTATATCTGTTTGTTCATTTGATTTAACTTTTAATGGCACAGTTTAAATTATTGTTGTGAGGATGTAGATAATTTTGAAGTTCCCTCAGGTCTGCTCTAGGGTTCCTCTGGGAGTTTTCTCATGCTTGCAAACTTCAGGTTGGATAGAATGGATGATCTTCAAAAAGATTAGAAGAAGATACATTTGGACTATCTGGTCCAGTTAAACCTCTTCAATTTTCATCTCCAGTTCATCCTTGGCCAGTTTTCTCAAGTCCAATGCAATTTACAATTCTTTGTGATTTTGAATCTTCCATTGTTTATAAAAAGTTATTTTTTTCCTTTTTGGACATTGAAATCCAGGGTTGTATTGTTGATCTAAAAGCTACTCCAAAAAATTCAATACTGAATATTTTAATCGATGATCCCTAGGGTGAGTAAAAATTGAAACAGATGTCCTTTACCTTGGAGTGCTCAAAAAATTGAAATTCATGTCCATCAATTCAATTTTTTGGGGGTGTTATGTGGATGTCACCTGAATCATGGATTCACTTTTGTTTGCCCAAGTTAAGAGATGGTCAGAGCAAATTGTATGCTTGAAAAGTGTAGTTGCATGAGTGATTCAAGTGACATCTGTCTGAAAATCCAGAAAGATGATGCAGCTGCTTCAGCTTGGTACTTTCAACCCCTGCACAATGGGGCGCCTAAAAAGTCTGCTATGCAAATGCAATGATGAAAAAATTAAAATTAGTACTTAATACCATCAATTTTCAACCAACAGAGGGTCTTTTAAGTGGATTTAGTCCATTGTGTTGGAGGGAAAGCTGCCTCCAAATTGTGGTATTTTGTGCGGGAGGTCTGTTAAGCAGGGGTTGACTGAATTGATTTTTGTTCCCTCTTCCAGGAAGTTGAAGACGAATCCGTTGCCACCTTCACCGAAAATCACAGGGTATGTCCAGTCATTCAAGAGAGAGCCCGTGAAAACAGCAGAGCTGAAAATGGAGGTACAATTCGATCTGGACGCAATCAGGTCGCATGCTCCAGAGGTTCCCAAGCCTGACCTCGGTCTTCAGGTCATTGGTCAGCTCCAAAATGGCTTCTGGGTCGTGCGAAGTCAGCGGAACATTATTGCTCTGTTGAATCACCACAGGTAATGTGATGTCTATTTTCTTGAA